GGGTATGGGATGTGAGGAATGGTATCATTTCTGCTTCCAAAGCATCCAGGATCTTTCACCACTTTAGCCTAGGCAGAGCTAAGTATGCTTCTGGACTGCACATGGGATGTGAAGGAAACCTCAAAGTTAGGATGCTCCCAAGGTAAGAAGGGCTGGGAGGACAGGTGAAGCCAGGAATCCGGTTTGGCATATGAAGTATGACAGTAGGTGGAGTGGCCAATGACAAAGCAGGCTTGAGCACTGGGGGAGTCTTATGCCAAATGCGGTGTCTGAGAAGATGGCCCCAGGTCCAGCCCTGCTGTGCAGAAGGCTAGCTTTGGATGTGCTGGCCTAGTTCCTTATGGACCAGCATCTCTTTCCAAAGACGTTAAGCAATCCTAAAGTAGGCTTCGTGGAATGGTGTGGGCAGAGAATTTAGTGGTGTATAGGATTTTCTTGGTGTACATTGCTAGGTGGCATAAAGTGATCAAAATCTCATTAACCTACTGTATTACTCTATTAGTAGTAAGTGGTGAACAGCACACAACTGGATAGTGTTGACATTTTGTGGAAATGTAGAAAAGGCTTTGTAGAAAAGGCTGACTTGAAGAATGACCTAGATATTCCTGCTGGGTACAAAGCAGTACGTGGAGAAGTTGTGGACTGTTGTTGTCATGCTTTGTAAATGTTAGGTGTCTCTGGTTTGTGCCTTGTGTCCATGTCCTGCACGGCAGAGGCAGCTCACCAGGGAACCAGGTTCTGCCTCAGTCCCTGCTAGTAGGTCTTCCTCTTTCTATTGACCACAGATCAGAGTTTGATTCAGTCACTCACTCAGTTGTGGAACACACATCACTGATCTCTTCTGTTTTGGCACACACAGCATCCTCCCCTTTCTTGTGTTAGGGAGCGCTTCCCAGTTGTATGCCTGTCTTGGCTCATGCAGAGGTCAGTACATAAAGCAGCTGGAAATCAACTGAAAAGACTGGAGGTGTGTATTGAGGCCTGGTGAAAAGAACACATTGCATTTCTCTGTGGAACATCCAAAAATAAAATGCAAAGCATTAGATACATTAAATACCAACGTGCATTAAGTTGTCGCCTTTTGAGAGACAACAGAGATGCTTCTGTGAAGTGACAGCTGCCCTGAAATGGTGCTGAAATGTGCCACTGTCTCCTGTAATCCCCGAGCAACCTGATCAGTCTCATGTGACTGATGCTTAGAGTAGTTAAGGATTTGCTGAAGGTGGCTCAGCTGCTAGAATGCAGACAGGAGGTGTGAGGCCAGGCTGCTGCCCCTTGTCTTGGCTCTGTAGCACTATGCCACCTGCCTACTTTTGGAATGACCATACACGATTCTAGAACAAGACTCTTTAGCAATGTTCTCTTACGTTCTTGTGAAAGGAGGTTAAGAGGCCAAGCTCTTCCACTGGACTTCAGCCTTGCCTCCTCCAAGAGACCTGTGGTTCCATTGTGCCTGTTTTGTTTTGTTTTTTTAAGACAGGATCTTATTGTGTAGTTCAGGCTGGTCATGAATTTGCAGCGATCATCCTGCCTCAGCCTCACAAGTGCTAGGATTATAGGTGTGCACCATGCTTGACCCTCCATTATGCTTCTGTATGTACTGTGTACTCACCCTGAAATATTGTTTCTGGATCAACTTAAAAATAGGTTCTCAATTTCCTTCAGCTCTTAAAACACAGATATGGAGGGGTAGGGGTGTGGCTTAGTGACAGAGAGAGCACTTGCCTAGCATGTGTGAGGCCCTGGGTTCCATCCCTTGAACCACACACAGCAAAGCATAGGCATATGGTCATATACAGTAGCATCTTCTGTAAGGTGATTTATAGAAACTACATATTTGCTACAGAGGGTGGTGATGGATAGATAACAAGGGCAAGCCTTAACTGACTTGGGATTATTTGAAAGTTCTATTTATAAACAAGCTGGCTCATGACTGCAGTTTGATTTTGCTACTTGAAGCAGCCCTATGAGCACAAGTCTGCACTTGTTGCCCCCTTGGGTAGGTTTCTCTCAGTTAAGTTCCTAGGTGAGAGGCAGTAGGTGGTTTGTAAATAGGGAGAGTTCGAATTCACACAGAGCACATGATCTCTCCTGGAGTTCTTGCCCCCTTGACTGATAACATAGTAATGAGCGAAGCTGGTGCTTTACCTTGGAGGAGATGGGGCTGGCAGTCAGGTTTCCCACAAAGCACTTGAACACTTAGTGCTGTTTGCAGTTAGGGTCTCCTCAAGTTGGTGCTGCCCAAAGCTGCGGCTCATGATCCTGCTAAGATGTGGTCTTAGGAATGTGCCTTCCTTCCAGCTGTGGGGTCTTGGCAGACATGATCCTCACTGCACAGCACAGCACAGCTGTGAAGTGGGAAGGTGGAGTCTCAGCATCCTTCCAGGTGAGCAGCGGGCGGTGCATCCCCAGGCTCTGCTGCATTCTTTCCACAGCTCTTCCACATGCTCAGCAGGAGCCCTTCCTGTAAACCCAGGCGCTTCGAGACAGACCAGCTCTGTTTTTGTTTTCATTTCTTTGGTTTTTTGAGACAGGGTCTCGCTTTGTAGTGCAGGCTGGCCTTGAACTCACAGCAATCATGGCAATCCTCCTGTGTCTGTCTCCTGAGTAGCCCAGCCAGCTTAATTTTTTTTTACCATCTCATGATCTGCTTCTTGAGCTGCTGCTTCTGTTCTGTTCTCCAGTACAGCATGCCATCTTGGACTGGTCCTGGTCCCTTCCCACCCTGCCATCTGGCAGGCCCCCACACCATGTTGAGGACCATGTAGCCAAGTACAGTCAGTATGTGATGTCCCACCACTGAGCTGATATTTGGCCAGGAATAGAAAGCTAGATTTAGTGTTAAATGACCAGAGGGATATTACACATTTAATTCATTCTAGGCTCTGTGCAGGTGGGCGGATGTAGCCAAGAGTAATGTGCAATTTCCTGTCCTGCTAGATTCTAGTCCTAAGGGAGCCACAGACAGACAGCTGAGAGGGACACAAGTTACAGTAACGATGAGGCTGTCAAGGGGCACTGGAGACAGTGCTGTCTCTTAGCAGAGTGGTCAGTGTTCCCACAGTGACTACTGCCCTGAGCAGCCCCGTGTGGCCTCTGCACCTCTTCTTCCCTCCTGACTGCTGGGTTTCTCTGCACTCTCCACGTGCCACCCACTCTATTGCCCTTCACTGTGCTGTGAGACTTCTCCTGAAGCCCGTTTTACTGCCTCAGCCTGCTTCTGGGTCTGAGAGCTGCCCTCAGGCTCTTTACCTCTCTTCACCCTCTCTGTTCCTGCTGTCTTGTCTCTGAGTTCTCTCTTGCTTCTTTAGCCTCCTGAGTGCCTCAAGCTCTGTATCCCATAGCTGCCCCCAGATTCTTCTTCAGACTCACTTTTCTCAGCTTCAAAGCTCCTGTGGTTTGAAAACAGGTAAAACCCAGGATAGTCTGGCCTTAGTCTGCAGCTCCCTGTCCCCTGTCCCCTGTCCCCTGGTGCCATCCAGCCCACTGAGCCCAGGCCACTGTGCAGAGTACCTATTCTGTCCCTGTATTCTCCACCTGTCCAAAGCCCATCTGTCCTTGAAGGATGAGCTGTACTTCCCCCTTCCCTCTTGGGTGGAAGGGAGCCACTGCCACTGTCATCCACTCCACCTGTACCTCTTCTGTGGTGGTCATTGGTGTCTATCTTCTGCTCATCCTACAAGCAACATTAAGGGATTTGTCCTGTGGTGGGGCTCCAAGGGCTTCTGTGTGATGCCTGCCTTTTCTTTCTCCTCTTAGCTTTTACCTAAGGGCAAGTTCCTACTACCATAACCCACATGGCACACTATAAACAGTAGGCATTCAGGGCTGCGGATTTAGCTCAGTGGCAACACACTTGCCTCAAGTGCAAGATCCTGAGTTCGATCTGTGGTACCAAAAACAAACAAAATACAACAAAAACAGCAGGCATTCAGTAAACATTGTCATGACTCTTCATTACTCATACTGTCCCCTCCAAAATACATCACCTCGTTACCCTGGGGTGAGCTGGGATTCATGCAGATTCCCTGATTCCTACAGTTCCTTCAGTGAGAGCTAAACTTGTTCTCATTTTAGGTTCATCTTGGATTTATTAGTGTAACCACAATAGCTCTTTGGGGAGAAGTTAAAAGTTTCTTTCAGATTGTATTAGTCAGGGTTTGGGGATTTGGCTCTTTGGTGCTGCCACCTGCTTTAAAAGCATAAGATCCTGAGTTCGATCCCCAGTACCCCCCCAAAAAAACCCCACCAGATTGTATTAGTCATATGAGACAAAATACCTGACATCCATAACTTACTTTGCCTTATGATTTCAGAGGTTTTATCTCTGGTCAGCTGGTTCCAAGGCAGGAACATCATGGCAGGAGGATTCAGCCAAGCAAAACTGCTTAATCATGGCAACCAAGAAGCAGGGCAGAGGAACAGCACCAAAAAGGGAGGGGCAAGGGATAAGATACAGACCCCAAGTCATGACCCCATGAGCTTCCCAGACATACACAGAAATAAGCTTTACTAAGCCCCTGCGCAGCTCCCAAGCCGGTCAAGTTGACACATAAGCCCACCATCAAATTTCCATATGTTCATGACATGGGCTGTACAGTCTGCTGTGCTGTGTGCTTGGCTTTTGTCATCACCCACAGGATCTTGGCCATCTGTGTGCATTTTTTCAGTACTAGGTAATTGAAGCCAGGGTCTTTGCACTGAGCTGCATCTACATACAGCCTTTTTGTATTTTGAGACAGGGTTTTATTAAATCACTAAGTTACCCAAGCTAAACTCAAACTTGTGATCCTCTTGCCTCAGCCTCCAGAGTGCTAGGTTTACAGTTGTGTACCACCATGCCTGCTCACCTGTGTGCATTGTGAGAGTCATCTATAGCACCTTGCAGGGCCCTAGTAGTCCTAGAGTGGCAGAGTGTTACAGCATAGCCAGGAATGGAGTGGGGACAGAGGTCACTGCCGGCCTTGATACAGTCTCACATTTCCATCCTTTCCCTCTAGGAGATGGCGGGCAGAGCACTCAAGCAGACTGGCAGCAGGAGCATTGAGGCTGCCCTGGAGTTCATCAGCAAGATGGGCTACCTGGACCCAAGGAATGAGCAGATTGTGCGTGTCATCAAGCAGACTTCTCCAGGTGAGTCCTGACAGCAGGCCGCAGCATGGCCGGTGAAGAGAATCTGGGATCTGAGAACACAGCAGTTGCAGGAAGATACCCAGCCTGCTGTGGTCAGGAGATAGTCTTTCCTCACATCCCTGTCCCACTGACAGGAAAGCTGAGCTGGCCCTGTGAGAGTCAGAGCCAGAGTGGGGACATAGCAGATCATGAGACTTACTGTCTAGGAAGTGTGTGCTTATTTTTCTTATGTGAAAGATGGAAAAATTCAGCAAAGTGAGACTAAAACTGCTACACTTAATCTTAGCCAAAAGGCTGAGAAGTGATGTGAGTCTAAAAATATTTTTACTTTCCCTTGATCCTGGAGAGGAATCTGAAAAGGAAAGCTTGGTAGGTTTAGGCATCTAAAACTCATCTTGGCTTCTCATACCACTGCCTCTTAGAGCAGCTGTCAGGGCCAACAGCTGTAGGCAGTGTGTTGGGTTCCCCCCAGGTTCTCCTGGAAGGGACAGAGTTACACACTCTGCCCCACTGGCTGCAGGGATAGGAAGTGGGTGTTCCTCTTGAAGGATGAAATGGGTGGGTTCTGCTTTGGGTTCTTGAGGTCCCTGGGGTATGATAGAAGATTCATTATGTTTCCCAAAGTAGTTTTTCCCCATTTCATGGAAGAGCTGAGATAAAACCCACTTGATGTGATATGTGAGAAAATTTCACAGGCTTTTGTGACTTGTATCTCTGCTGTTTAGGGGACATACAGTTCTCTTTTCTTTTTGAGAGAAGGACTTTTCCTTAACCAGTCCCCATTCGGCCACCCATGTCTTAGTCCATGGTGTCAAAGTGAAACACAGGCCCTAGCTCTGTAATGATTTACCTCCTGGTTGCCTTTGTTTCGGTGCCTCTGTGCATCTATTCATCTTCTCAGCAGTTGTCTGGTTGTGACTTGTCCTCCACACTGTGGCTGCTGGGGCCATGCTTTGCCAGGCATTGAGAGTGGGGGTGTTGTTGTGGATGGCAAGGCACAGCCTTGGGACTGCAGTGCACTGCCAAATGAAGCAGAGGGTTGGAGTATGGAATTAAAGGGCACCTTTGTCCATTCTCCCAGGAGTCTATTTTAAATGAAGAGAGGTTTTCAACATGGAAAAGTCAGGAATCAGGAAACAGTGTCAGAAATCCATCTAGATATTTGAGTTCCGGAATTATGTGGTTTTTGTTGCTGTATATATGTTGTTTGGTTTCAATAAAGGCAAAACCTCCAGGAAAATCTTTATTTTGGAAAATAAATGAAAGCAAAGTGGACATTTGAACAGTGGCTATGATTCTGCCCTTCTTAGGGAAAAGACGACTTTGGGAACAGTAAACTCAGCTGTCCCAGATGACTCAGCTGTTTTCATGCAGAAAACAGCTGCTGTCCAGATGGCTCCTGAGGGTGGTGGGAGGCAGGTCCTAGGTGTGTCCTCTGGGATGTGAGGATTCCCGGCAGCACCAGGACACTGCCCCTCTGTGGCCTGCAATTCTCCCATCTGCCTTTTAGGGTGACTGGGCCCCTGAGCTGGACACTACCTGTCAGGGTCCTCCCTTAAAGACCCTGTGTGCAGCCCAGTCCCACAGACATCACTAGAGGGAACCACTAGTAGGGACCTGAGGGTGCCAGCTCCGGCATTCCACGTGCTGTCACGTCTTCCTTTCATTGCTGCAGGCAAGGGCCTTGTGCCTACCCCGGTCACGGTGGCCCGAAGGCCAAGCTTTGAGGGTGCACGTGAAGGCTTCCCGTCTTTCCACCCGCTGCCCGGAGCAGCCTATGAAGGCGCAGGCTTCTGCGCAGACTCTGCGGCGCTGGAGGAGGTGCCACGGCCCTACGTGGACTTCCTCTTCCCTGGGGCCCCACACAGCGTACCCCAGGCCTATGGCGCTGAGGCAGCGGCAGGTGCGCGCTTCCCGGGCCCACACTACGGCCGCACACGCCTGCCCGGACCTGGC